AAATCACATAGGACCAAATTTAAAACATGTTTTAAAAAAAATATTCTCAACCTGCAGAGAAAGTAAATAGTATAAAATTACAACCCTCATGGTAATGAAGGAGTTTTGATTTGATGCTAGATACATGACAGAATTTTGTAAGGTCATCAAGATTCAAAATACTAACTAGTATCAAGTGATCGGGTGAGGAATGTCCCTACTCTTGGAGTAAAAGCAGGTTAGAATTAAGCTTGTGGACATGAACCGAAGCCTGATATAAGCCTGTTAAATATCAGCAACATTTCTCCATTCTTCTAGAAATATCTCAAGGAGTCAAGCATTCTAGTAGAAATATCTCAATGAGGAGTCAAACATTCTTCTAGAAATATCTCAAGGAGGATCGAGTCACTTCTAGAAATATCTCAAGGAGGAATTAAGCCTTCTTCTAGAAATATCTCAAGGAATCAAGCATTAATCATGAATAAAGTGTTTCTAGAAATATCCACCACACCTATATATATGAATTCCCCTTCATTTGGTTGGAAGTAAGCAATGAAACAAAGTGAAAAGAAAAGAAAGAAGTAGAGGAGAGTGAAGAATAGGCTGAATAGCTTGTAGCCAAGAAAACTAGTGTACTAGTGTGTAGGTGTGAGAGTAACTTGTAAAAGAAAGAGATGTGTAGTCTTTTATGAAAAAGTTGTACTCCTTTATTTGAATCAAAGAAATTTTATTAATTTCTCCATTGTCCAAGAGTTTTTATTCAAAACCTCTTTTCGGGTCCACAAATTCCATCAAAGCCTGAGCTCAGTCTCATAATTGGTTCAGACCTATTAAAAGACAGAGTAAGAAAGTTCAACTGCAACACTTTGCGTTAACTAATCTAAAGTTAAAAGAAGACTTATTAGTCTATCAGAAGAAATTGAGACAAATGTTTCCCTTTTTCCCTCCTAGTGAGCTTATGATTAAAATCAGGCAAGAATTGCTTGGAGTGTGCAAGGGGATAGAAGTACCAGATTCTTCCATGCTTTAGCAAAATCCAACAGGCACAATAATAGAGTTGTGGTCCTATATAATAACAGAGGGGAAAGGATCATTGATGGTGAAGCTATTGTGAAGGAATTAGTGTCTTACTATAAAAATCTAATGGGCACTGCAGTTAACACTTCTCCAGCTGATATGGATGTCATCAAAGCTGGTCCTTGTTTAAGTGACTCTCAAATCAATTTTCTGTCTAGCCCAGTTTCAGATGAGGAGATTAAATCTGCAATCTTCTCTATGTCTGAGGATAAGGCACCAGGACCAGATGGATTCAGTGTTTCCTTCTTTAAATCTTCCTGGAATATAGTAGGTGCAGAGGTAACTTTGGCTATAAAGGATTTTTTCAAAACAGGCAAGCTTTTGGGGGTGGTGAACACAACTTCAATCACACTTATACCAAAGGTAAACTGTCCATCTACTCCATCAGATTTTAGACCTATTTCTTGTTGTAACTGTATTTACAAATTCATATCAAAAATCATTGCAAATAGAATAAAATCTGTAATGGGTAGCCTAGTGAATGAAGCACAGAGTGCTTTTGTACAAGGGAGGCAAATAACTAGCAACATAATGTTAGCTCATGAGCTTGTTAAAAGCTACAACAGGAAGCATATCTCCCCAAGGGTTATGATTAATATTGACATTAGGAAAGCATTTGATTCAATCAGCTGGAGCTTTATTCATTCTGTTCTTCAAGGACTGGGTTTTCCTAAAAATATGATTAACTGGATAATGGTCTGCATCTCATCTCCCAAGTATTCAATCTCATTCAATGGTGGACTCCATGGTTATTTCAAAGGGGAACGAGGCCTGAGACAGGGTGATCCACTCTCTCCCTATCTCTTTATTCTGGGTATGGACTATCTTTCAAGGAGCTTATTCACTTTAAAGGAGGACTCCATGGTTATTTCAAAGGGGAACGAGGCCTGAGACAGGGTGATCCACTCTCTCCCTATCTCTTTATTCTGGGTATGGACTATCTTTCAAGGAGCTTATTCACTTTAAAGGAGGACAGGTCTTTTAAATTCCATCCCAAATGCAAGAACCTCCAGATTTCACATCTGATTTTTGCAGATGATCTATTGTTATTTGCTAAAGGGGAACCTTATTCAGTGCAAAAGCTTCATCAGTGCATCAAATCATTTGGGGAAGTGTCAGGATTAGAAGCAAATCCAGGGAAATGTTCCATCTTCTATGGAGGTGTTGAGGACTCAGTTAAAGCAAATATTACTAATTCTCTTGGATTTGCAGAGGGTTCAATGCCTATTAAATATCTGGGGGGTTCCTCTAATAACAAAAAGGCTCTCCTTCAATGACTGTTACCCCTTATTTAATAAAATCAGAAGACAATTGCTGAACTGGACTAAACACAGGAAATTGACTTATGCTGGCAGATTGCATATTATTAAGAGTGTGATTCTTGGAGTACTCATATATTGGACATCCAACTACATTCTACCTGTAAAGGTCCTTTACAAAATAGATGAAATCTGTAGGCATTTTTTGTGGGGCAAAGATGAACATTCATCAAAGTTATCTCTTGTAGCATGGGAAAAAGTCTGTTTAGGGATGAAACAAGGAGGTCTGGGGATTTTTTCAGCACAAATTTGGAACACTGCTTCAGCTCTAAGAAGTATATGGTACATTCATTCAAACAAGGAATCTTTGTGGATAAAATGGATACATGAAAATTATCTCAGGCATAGAGATATCTGGCAAGTCGAAGCAAGATCAGGGGACTCGTGGATGTGGAAGCAACTAATTAGGATAAGAAACAAGGTCATGGCTGAATTAGGAGGAGCCGAAAATGTTCAGGCCCTGATTATGTCGTGCTGCGTTAACTCAAAGCCAAAACTCTCAGCTCTGTACAGAAGATTATCCCCTGTTATTAGCTCAGTGCCATGGCACAAAACAGTATGGGGAGGGTTAAATATACCCAAACATTCCTTCATTAGCTGGTTGGCGATACAAAACAGACTTCTTACTCAAGATAGGCTATTGAAGAGAGGAATTATCAACACTAATCAGTGTTGTCTGTGTACAGGTTCAAACATTGAGACTAGGGATCATTTGTTCTTTGAATGTACATATTCCTCTTACATATGGAACTCAATCATGGATTGGATGAACTTCAAATGGAAATCTTGCAACTGGAATCATATTTGGAGCTGGTATTCAAGTTTGAGAGGAAAAGCTATACAGATCAAGTTCAAAAGATTGGTGTTGACAGCTACAATATACTGTATATGGAGGGAGAGGAATGCGAGACTGTTTGCCCAGAGGATTAGCAATGAGGATCACCTGATCAAGGTCATAAAATTTGAAGTTTCCACTATCATGTTTAACAGTCCCCCCTAAGCGAATTTGTCAGCATAAGTTGAGGGTTGTAACTAGGTTGTGTTTGTGTTCTCAGTAACTATATTACTGAGTTTTTTTTGAGGTGTACATAATTTCATATATTGGTTGATGAATAAAGATTTTCATTTACCAAAAAAAAAAAAAAATCAGATAAGTAATAAGAAACTGAGAAAACCTAAAAATAACTAAATAATTTGTTCAACATCTCGCATGGCCAGAAGGAGGGGGGGGGGGGGGGGGGATGATAGAAAGAATACAAAAAGGAGCTGAGCAAAGGTAAAAAATTTTGAACCGTTCATCATATAAGCCTTATGAACTGAAGGTGACAGAGAGCCTTGACGCTGACAAGTCCTGTCATATATGCGCTCCAGACCTTTGGCTCTCCCATCAGTACTCAAGATCAAAGTCAAACACATGAAATTAATGTATCTTCACTAACACAGTTTATACTTCTCATCAGAACTTCAATTATTGCATCTTGCTTCTGTCGTAAGAAGCATAACCAAGCCAAACTGGCTGTTCAGAGAGAATTAATAACGTTCTACAAGTTTTTGATAGTAATTATAATTTTTGCAAAAAAGAATTCGCTGAAGCGTTTTTTTTTTCCTGAAAACCACCTTTAGAATAGAGTCATTTTATATATAGAAACCATCTTTCACTATCAATTTATACATAAACCATATTTATATGTTTTTTGTTGCGATCAATCACCAAGCTATACTCACTTTTAAGCCAAGTTTTTCGGTTTTACTGTAATAATTAGTAGTTGTTAGGATTAATATAAAAATATATTCTTTGATCCTCACCATAACTTCGGAGTTTTTGTGTAATGGTTAGAGGAACTAAATTTAAGATGGTATCAGAGCAACCCAGGTTCAAATCCCGCCGGCCACAAATTAAATGCGGATTTTCTAAAAATTGACACTGCTACGTGAGTCTATGTTTCGACCCATAAAAAAGGGCGCTCGACCTACGAGGGCATGTTAGGATTAATATAAAAATATATTCCTTGATCCTCACCATAACTTCGAAGTTTTGGTGTAATGGTTAGAGGAACTAAATTTAAGAGTAGTCAAATACCAAATATATTAGAGAGATGATCCTTAATGGAGGTTAGATGAGATAAATCACAAAAAAAATTAAATTACTGACAAGTGACCCTAGGTGGTTGATTGCAACAAAAAATCCTTTAAAGATGGTTTATATGTATAAATTGAAAATTAAAAAAAAATCTATAAGTGACCCTGTTTTAAGGTGATTTCTAGAAACTAATCTTTTGCTGAATGAAATAACATAAGATATAATATCACACAAACCATATCATGCATTTCTATATCTTTTGATAGCTAATTTCGAAATAAGGTGACAGCACACGTCCACCATCCTATTTTTGTCATCACTTTTATATTCATGCCTGCAAGCTCCTCAATTATTTTATTACGAAACGTAAGAAAAAATGGAGCAACATTTCATAGGCAACAAAAGTAAACTCATCATTCTTGTCTTGATTACTGAACCAATCAATATCAATATAACTACCAAATTGAAGCAACAAGCTATTTGCATGCATGATATATATATATATATATATATAAACTTATAGCCTAACTAATCTTCCTATCTAATTAATAATAGGTCATACTAAAACTAGGGTTCACCTCCTGTCCTCCTCCTCCAAATGAACAATACGGCAAAGGAGCGAGAGTTGGTGATGAAGGTGACACTGAACCACCCACCATCTCCTCACTCTGGAAATTAACACCATCATCATTGCTATAATAATAAGTAGTAGGAAAATTAAGGTTAGACCCTTCATTAAGGTTCATACTGATTTCAGCCTGATGAAGCCAAATCTGAGCCTTGAGGGACTTAACGTAGTTAATGGCTTCCTCCAGCATTGAGACAGTGTCCATCTTGCTCCCTCCAGGGACCAAGCTCTTCAAGATTCGGAACCGGTCACTTATTCGATTGCGCCTTTGCCTCGCTGCAACGCTCTGAGGGTCGGTGGAGAGCTTGGCGGTTGATCTAGTCTTTGCGTTTCTTGGTTTCCTTTCGTGGGGGTGATCATGAGTTAGGGTTTTCCTTCTTGATGTTGATGAGGATGAGTTTTGTTCTTCAGTTAAAAGCAAAGGTGAGGGGTTTTGTTGGTAGTTGTAGCTTTCCATTTGGGTTCAGCAATTGTTTGTCTGATCTCTAGGTTGTCTAAAACTTTGAGTGCTCTAAGCGAGATTTATAAGTGTGGTGGGGGGCGAGAGAGAGAGAGAGAGAGAGAGAGAGAGAGAGAGAGACAGAGATAGCAGAACTGTAGGGATGTGTGGGGAGTAGGAGACATAGGAAATGCTAGGGTTAGGGTTTTGGATGAGGAGGAGCTAGAGGAAACTAGGGTTTGAGGAGAGAGGGTACAAGAGTCCTTTTTGTCTGCATCAACATATTAATGCCCTATGGCTTTTGAGTTTTCATTCAGCTGTACATACGGATTATAGCTTTCATGTATAAAGGAAGATGATCATTTCTCCCTTTGCATGTTCAGTGTGTTTAGTTGAATCTAACAGTTTTGGCTACTTGAAGCCAGCATGATTTAACTCTGGACAAGTTATACTAACCTAGATTAGACGAAACTAGTTTCTTTATATGCGAATTAGTTTTAAGTTGAACCTAATTAATTTGGTTCATTTTTAAACAATATTGGTCTAAGATCGATGTTGAGAAGGAAGTAGTAGGAGAGAGAACAGTAACGGGAGGAGAGGTAGAGAGTACTGAGGAAGTGGGTTGGCACCTTTCTTTTCTCTTTCCCAATGCTTTTAGGGCAAGAGCTAGCCGGTTCTATTTCATACCAAGTGGTAGTTTGGTTATTTTATTTTATTTTATTTGTTTATTTATTTATTGTGGGCCAGTCATCAAGCAAATATGAACCCTAATAAAAACTAGTTTAGGATAATTTTTTGGGGAAATTTGCTTCTAGACTCCAAAATAACTTCATCTATTATCTGCAACCCCACCCCACCCCCCCTAAAAAAAAACCCTGACTCACGCTCTCTAGCAACCAGTCATCAGAGAAGATAGGAATATAGGCATTAATGGTGATTAGAAAAAGGTTTTGGAGGGGAAAAAAACCACATTTTCCTCTCAATTCTAACCATCTTCTATATCTCTCTCCTCCCCCTCAAATAAATCCTCTTTGCTTACCCCAACTACTCCATCCCAGCCATTTAATTCTCCTCCATAAATCCTCTTTGATTCTTCAAACTTTTCTTCAAAATGACGGATGGATCCCTTCTTTGCATGATTACAAACACAAAAAGTAACGAAGAGGGTGAGTGTATTTTCGTAGTTATCAATGAGTCTACAGAAATTATTAGCTTGAAGTATCAAGTATCTCAAAGGCTTAAACTATCATTACAATCTCTTTCACTGAAATTCATATCCGAAAGGGAAAAGAAGTTCAGTTTTACAATTAAAATTGATGAGGACTTGAAATTGATATTCAGGTATTGTTCTCGTAATGGATTTACAAACATAAACTAATATGCTACCTCCATTAGGAAATCCTCAAGTTCTCAGAACACCCTAACTTCTCCAGGAAATATGTAAGCATTTCAATTTTATTTTTCTTTCGCATTGGTAGTTAAGGTTATTAGTTTGTTGTTAAGGTTATTAGATCCTCGTAGATAGTTATGAGTTGGTTGTTAACTATATGAGTTGGTTGTGGAAGTTATAAGTTGGTTGTTACGATTTTGAGTTGGTTTTCAACCTTAGTATATAGTTATGAGTTGGTTGTGGAGGTTATGAGTTGGTTGTTATAATTTTGAGTTGATTGTCAACATTAGTACATAGTTATGAGTTGGTTGTGGAGGTTATAAGTTCATTGTTAAGTTTTTGAGTTGGTTGTTAAGGTTACGTGTTGGTTGTTAACCTTAGTAGATTTTTATGTGTTTTTGAGTTGGTTGTTAAGGTTTTGAGTTGTTTGTTAATATTATGAGTTGGTTGCTAACCTTGCAAGTTGTTTGTTAACCTTTTTAGACATGTAATAATTAATATTTTTACTCATTTTTTAGGAGTATCCCAATAGAAAATTTACGATGCATAGTTCCTATGCAAACCTCTCCCTGGTTCTTTAAAAACCTTCTCCTATCTTTGAACTTGGACATGTATCTGTGGAAGATTTATAGTAGTTTGCTAAGATTTAGCTACAACTGTGGTCATTCTTATGTATTTCCCAACTTCTCCCAATCTCAACCAATTTTTGAGGGGAGGCCTTGACATACTTCCCAATACTGACTTCTTAATGCTAGTAAGTTTATAGTATAACAATTGCACATTAACAATCAATCTGTAACATTAACAAAGAATACATAACCATAACAATAAATCTGTAACATTCACAACCAAACTATAATCTTAACAACAAATCTGTAACCTTAACAACCAATCTGTAGGCCTAACAACACAAACTATCTGCAACCTTAACAACCAATTAACAACCTCAATAATAACCTTAACAACAAATGTGTAACTCTAACAATCATTATATAACCTTAACAACAAATCTAAAACCTTAACAATAAATCAATAAAGTTAATAACCGGACTATCTATAACCTTAACAACCATCCTATAACCTTAACAACTAATATACAACCTTAACAATTAATTTGTATACATAACAAATAACCCCTAACCCTAACAACTAACAACTATACATAATAACAAACCCCTATCCTTGATAATCAAGAATGCATACATTATAGTTATTGCTCTAAACTATAAAAAGTATGAATACTTATAGACACAAGCTGGTTACATGTTTGCAGATATATTATCTTCTTTCTAGTAGTAGCAGTACCCTTCAATACCTTTTCGATTGCATCATTTATCTCACTAAAAATATAGCTACCCCAAGTAGTGTTCTTTGCTTGTTTGATACTGTCAACATACTTGAACAAATATCTTAGTATGCCAATAACACTGTTTGGACACTAGATCATACTCAATTGATACAGGATCTGTAGTAGGACATAGTCCTTTACGTCTTCACAGTCATTTGATCATACAAGAGTCATGAGTAGATTCTTAACATGGTGTTTGATAGGTGGTGGAGGAGCCCTACTGCTGTCACCCTCAGTTTTGAAAAAAAAAAATCTCAACCAGATTTGATTTCTTCGATCTCGGTTGGGGCCAACAAAATCTCCTTCATTAGAGAATCATGTATAGCTCATAACTCAATCAAGATTGAATGAGCATTGTATATCCTCTCCAGTTTTTGAATCAGTGAAGACAAATTTCTTCTTATGCTCATCCCACTGTCTCAGCACGTGCTTGAATGTGGCCGTGCTCGAATGTGGGAAGATCAAAACTAGGAGGGTCAAAATGAACGTAGTGTCTGAATAACTATCTTCGTAGGCATCCCAATGCCTTTGACCCACATGTTACACGAAAGAATACATGAATTCATAATAAGCAATGAAGCTTGATGTAGCCCGCAACTCTGATACAGCCTTTTGTCTACAAAGCAAAACAATAATACATAATTAGTTTAAAAATAATTTGTAACTTTAATAATTATGATGTAAACATTAAAAAAACTATAACCTCAACAACAAATCCATAAGCTTAACAATTATTCAATAACCTCAACAACCAATTCATGACCTTAACAATAAAAACATAACCCTAACAACTAACAGCCACACGTCAACAGTAACAGTAACAACTAACAGCCAAACATCAATAGTAACTTTAACAACTAACAGCCAAACGTCAACAGTAATCTTCACAGTAGATTCATAACATTAACAATTAATGCTTAACCTTAATAACTAACAGGCTATAAGTTAGTAGTAAACTTAACAACTAACATGCCACATGTTAACAGTAACCTTAATAGCTAACATTCCACATATTAATAGTAATCTTCACCAAGTTAACAGTAACATTCATAACAGATTCATAACCTTAACAACTAACACAGAACCTTAACAATTAATGAACGTCATTGACAACTAAAAACTAATCTTCACCACTTAACTGTAATCTTCACAATTATACACTAATCTTCACCACTTAACTGTAATCTTTTCCATATCGCTCCTATTCGTTCCTCTCTTTAAGTCCAGGAGCGCTCTTAAGGCGCCGTCGGTGCTACCCTTGAGATATGTGCATTAGACTGAGAATGTGGGTTGAACTCGACTTGTGGGAAGAGAATGACTAGTTGTGATGTCCTCTAGAACAAAGGGAATTAATGTGCCAGCTTTATTCAACTCTATGGTGGAAGGTCTTCTTGCGACGATGTATTGTGACGCGTCATCGTCGCCAATGAAATCTGCAAGGGTTGCACGGACGACTTCTTTAGAATCTGACTTGTTGGCCATGATGAAGATCAAGGTATAGGATGGCAAGATTACAAGAGAAGAATTTGGATTTTCGCTCTTGGGTGGGTTGATTTAGGGTTAGTGTTCGGATTTCGGGGATACTCGGTTCACTTGGACAAATGATAGAAGATGACACGTTCGACGAGGAGAGGTGTTTTGAGTAGTGTGAGACGATTAAATTAAATGGCATTTTGGGAATTATTTTTTAAACCGGATAACTTGGAAACCACGTTTAGAGGCTAAAGGCAATTGCATTATGGGGATTGAGGCTTTGAAAAAGTCTTAGGGGGGAGAATAGATAAAGTTATTTCTGGGGCTAGAAGCAATTTTTACTTTTCTTTTTGTTAAACTAGGACTATACTATTGGGCCAAACTTGTTTGTATTTCAAATTAGGCAGTCAGTGTATTGTGATATCTTCACGTACGTAGGTCCTACGGATTTCTAATGAAAAATGTGAAAACCAAGCAGCAAACTGGAGAAATTTGTGTAGGAAAAGGTTGATGTGCTATAAGCCTATAACTGAACAAATATTGAAGATCAATTGTACGGGAAAATCCCTCATCCGAAGATGTACATATCCTACTATCATATCCAGCCCCCTTGACCCTCGGACTTTACGCATTTCATCAGATCTTGTTCCGCGTCAGGAGGCCTACAAAGGACGAGTCCCACTTCTTGTACTTTCTATGGATATAATAAAAAGAACAAACAATTAAATAGTATAGAAAAGAAAAGCTAGCTAGGTTTTCACTGTAATTTTTCTGGGATTCTTGCTGAATATTAAAGCAACTTAAAAGTTCTATTCCACAAAGTCTTTAAAGCTAGATCAGGATTAATGATCATAACCCAAGTTTAAGATGTATTAATTCTTTGATCTAGAAGAGGGGGGGATAAGAAAGAATCGGTTTCAGTCACTTTTTTTGGTCTTACAAAAACTGGATCATAACCTCCATTTATTGCCAATTAAAAACAAATTCAAAAGTGAGTCGAGTTCCATCCTAGCTCACTTCTCTGAAATTTATGAACAGAGAGATACGTAGTTTCTCAATAGTAATTATTGTAGGGTGTACTGATGGTGTTACTAATAATGCAATTATATAACTTCTTCCAAGTTATTAAAAACTTTTTTTTAAAAAAAAAAAAAAATCTTTTTACTTGTTAATCCGTGATGGCACTAATTTTTAGAAGCCTTTAGATTCGCCACTGTTTCGTTGTCAACCGGAACGGTTCGATTGTAGCAGCGTGTGCAGGTAAAAACGAAAATGGAGACGACAGATATTCTTGATTGCATCAGTCAACAGAAGAAAAACCAAATAATACTTGGTCGATCTCAGTTTGATTGTGATGGAAGAATGGAGAATGCACGGAGAGAGAGAGAGAGAGAGAGAGAGAGGTGCGTGATCGATGATTGAAAGATGTAACACCTTTGATTGGATTTGGCTGCTGCAGTTCTGCAGTTCCGCCGCTCCTCCATTTGTGGTGATTAATTGCTTTATCAAATGAAGCATGGCATGAGATTTTGGGTTACTGTTGAAGTTGTTGTACGTGGATCCTCTATGTATGGGTAGCGGTCGAACTCTTGTCAGTGGCCTCGTGAACGAGAAGGGGGAAAAGAAAGAAAGAAAGAAAAAAGAAAATATAAACGTGTTAATTTTAATAGTTAGTTACAGATAAATCACCAATACATGGACTCTTCTGGTATTGAGAATAAGATCAAGTGAGAATGAACAGAAATAAGGAATGTAATGAAATAAGCGTGAGAATGGAATGCTCGTGTACATTCTCACGTTTGAATGTGATTAGAGCACGGAGAAGAAATGACAATCTTTTTTATTTTTAATGTGAGTAAATACATAGCATATTTGGTAAAAATTTGGACTGTTTCATTCCAACTTAAGTAGAAGCGCTCTTCCCTTACCAATTTATTGAGAATACTCATTCTTACATAAAGTAGAAATTAATGAGAATTGAGAAAGAGCATTCTACGTACATTCCAGAAAATATATTGTGTTTCGTAAGTATGACAGAGATTAGTAACTTATATCACCAAATATTTAATCCAAATTATCTCCTCCTAATCTGTACCTCTCGTGTGGTACATTTATGTTGCAAAGAAATCTTCCATGCCTTCAATTATAGGTGCTGAATAAGCACTGATTTGATAATATATATATAAAGATAACAGAAAGATAACTTTGTTTCAACATTAATGATCTGATAATAAAACAGACTCCTACGAAGGGAGGCTTCTTTATGTAACCGAGAACGTGTACTCCTTATTGAAGTTTAAATTATGTCCAAATAAATCAAATTATTATTCTTATAGACAAACACCTACCCTAGCACACAAGGTGTCATTACATGTGATAGCCTAGTGCACGTATA